GACAATTTCTGTTTGTATCCTGGCACATCTCTTCTCTGAGAAAGTATCTGGTTTGTGTGGCAGTCACAATTGTTTGTTCAGGTCTTCTTTTTCCTCCATGGCAGGCCGCATCTGGGTGCATCGGGGGGGTGAATATGGCAAGATTGAGTCGCAATTGCGTCCCAGCCCGCAGCATTCAACACCAGAAAGAGTGTCGCAAACATAGCACCCCACCATTTTGTACAAACAGTACTCTAGCATCACTGCCGGTAATAGTCAACTATGCCGTTCTACTCATGAGGTTGATAGTTGCTATCCAAAGCTACTTGCTGAAAAAATTTCTTATCTCACCGATGGGGAAAATTGAAAAGTAATTGGAAAATCAAAAAAACCCTTGGGGTTTTTTAAATATCAAAATGTTTTAGGAACACATTTTTTACGAAGAATTGGTTTTTTATGGTTTTGGATTGCTTTTTGGGATCTCGTGGGGAAAAAGATTGGCAGAAACAGTTACAACTGTCGTGGTGGGACCAAAAACATAACACTCCCCCTCACATTTTATATGGAGTTTTGCGAACCGGCCAACCTTTCACCTCGTCGAAAGAAACCTCAAAATTTCTGCCAACCGCCAGCAAATTTTTTTATACTTCCAAACAAGGCAGCAAAAAAACGGCCACAAGGCACTGTTGGCGGGGCCCAAAATTGCCCCCCCAGTTTCTAAAAAAGTTATCTTTAAGTGGCTCCTTAATTGGGTTTTTTTGGTTAAAAGCCAGTGAATATTGCGGTTTTAAACGGTCGGAATCGAAAAAACAATTAATGGCGCCAAAATCACCTTCTCAAAATTGGGGAGGTAAATTTGAAATTATGGGGGCCGAAAATACAAAGGCCCGCCTTTTTTTTTTATGTAAAAAGGGTTTTTTTTTCAGGGGTTTTGGGGGGGTCTCTTCCTGCCAAAGAAACCCCCCTCCCCTTTTCCCGAGAACGGTAAAATTTCAAGAAGATCATGATGATGATACCGATGATGCCGCGAAAGATTCCGGCTTAAAGTGTCGAATATGCCACGAGCGCATTACGAGTCAATTTCAGGGTCAAATGATGAGCTGCTGCTCAGCGAACCAGATTCACAAATTTTGTCTCGATAGCTGGTTCCGATCTCAAAGTACCTGCTTGTTTTGCAACCAAGGCATCGATCTAGATCGCTACAATCTGCACTCAACAGTGTCTGCCACTCCAATCAAGGGACAAGATGCACAACTGCGATTGCAACTTAGAAAGGATCGGCTGGGTGCTCCCAGCATTGTCAACTCAGTAATTAAACGTCGGGCTGCGGCTGAGGACAAGAAACGGCAGCGTCAAGAAGTGCAAGCGGAGAAAATGGTCAGGCTACGAGAGGACACAAGCCAAAGAGCAAAGCTTGGCTCGATTGTTACTTTGAAAGCTGACTATCGAGATATTAGTCATGCCAGACGTGGGGGCGTGAAAATTTTTCCAAGGGAAAATAAGTCCTCCCCGCATACGATTGTTTTTTTTCGAAAAGGTAAGGGGCCCTTGGGGGGGGGGTTTGGGGTTGGTTGCTTGGGTTTTTTTTGGCCCTAAACGGGAAAATATGGGGGTGGTTCATTTGTTTTTTTTTTGGGGGGGTTTTATCGGCGGAGAAAAAAAACCAACGAGCCCCAATTTTTTTATTGGTTTACCCAGTTTTTCCGATTTAGGTTAATTGATCATATTGTGAAGAACGCCAAATTTCACGCCCTTTTGAAAAAACCCCCCATATGGGTCCCCGAATCAAAAAAGAAGTTTTTACTTGGAATGAAACAGAGCCTGTTGAAAAAAAACAAAGCTTGCGAGGAAGACGAAACAAAGATTTACCATGGCCCAAAGAAAGCCCCCCCCCCTAAAGCCCGGCTTTGTTATGGGTACAGATTCCAAGGAAAAAAAGCTTGGCCCCTCAAAGATGTGGGTTTTTGGGCAAAAGAAAAAGGAAAAAAAAATTTTTTTTTTGCCCAAGAAAAATGCAAGTGCGGTTGGGGGGGTTCAAACAGCCACCAAACAACCAACTGATACCTTAGTGCTATGAGGGACCGGCTTTTGTTTCGCAATGGTAGCTGCCAGAATCAATTCAACCAGCAGGATTAAGAATCTATAGATACATGTTTTTTGTACTTGGTGTTGGATATCATTTCCAAGATTCTTAGCAGCAGATTCTTAAGAATCAGGTTTTTTTATTTTGCTGATTCTTAAGAATCAGATTTTTCCAAATATGATTCTTAAATCATCATTTTCCAGAATCAGCAAAATTCTGATTCTTAAGAATAGGCTGATTCTTAAGAATCCTTGTCTACCCTGTATTTGATTCTTAAGAATCATAATTTTCCCAAGATTTTTTCCTGATTCTTAAGAATAATCTGATTCTTAAGACTCCTTGTAACAGATCGAAGCAGGACATGGAGATGTTGGGTGCAGTGCTGCATGTTTGCGAACAACCCATTCATCGTCAACAACAGCTTCCCTCTAACTAACTAGCTAGCAAACCCGTAAAGCCAACGACATGAAGAGTATTTCGACATTGCAGGTTTCCTGCCGCAAGCTTCGTTCGCTTCTTGGCCAATCAAGGCAAGTCCAATCCATTTGTCTAACAAGCTGTCGTCAGTTTTGGACGTCCCCAACGTCCACAAGCAAAAAGGAACCAACCAGATCGGGTCTTCTTGTCCGGAGATTCATCAATCCATGGATTGATGCTGTTTCGCAGAGGGATCCAGTTATCTTGTCAGAAAGAATTGATCGATATACCGAAGGATTTGCCGTTGTCTCTACCTTGCTGTGCGCCTTGAGTGCCGCTGCTTTGGCCAATATTCCATCGCAACCACAACAACACGACAAAGACTGCAAGTCGTCGTCCGTCTTGACTTCTTTACTCAAAGGAACAGGGCTTTTCCCACTGACACCATCCGCGGAAGCCAAAATTCTTCACGATGCCTACGCTATTGCGTGTTCTACATCCTTCTTTTCTGCAGCCTGTGCCCTCGGTTTGTCCACGGTCCTCAATGTGGTGGGCACTGTGGCTCCCCGAATCTATGTGCAAAGTGGTTTGATTATTCGACATTCATTGGCCCTGGGGTCTATACCCTTGTTTGCGACGATATCAGGAGGGTGCATTGGGTTGGCTCTGGTCATTGGAATCGATATGGCTTCGTGTAGTCCACTCTTGACGTATATTGCATTGGGACAGTTGAGTTTCACCGTTAGTCTGGTGGCAGGCACGGCATTGAGGGCACAGATTGGTTTAGTCAGGGCCATTACAGCAGCGGCCAACCGCAACAATAAGCAGAGACGAAAAATAAAAGGCAGGCAATAACAAAATGGCCAAATGAGAGGAAACAGTACGGTACGACCAACAGAAAGATACCGGTATCCAGGTATAGGGATACATACCGGTACCCATGTACGGTGATTGGTTGGGTTGTAGTTCAGATGGACCCTGTTTGAAAAACAAAAAGGTGTTGTTCAGGCTGACCCTGGCATTGGAAACCAAAAAAATTCGTCAAGTCTGAACGAATAAATCTAAAAGACTTGAAACAGGTGGCTGTTTTGGTTCAAAATGGGTTTGGATTTGCTTTATTTTTATTAAAAATGACTTCCATTCTAAACCAAATCAAAGCGTCAAAATGGTCTCGAAGATCCAAGATCCGAGTGTCAAGTGTCAAGATCCAAGTCGACGAAGAAAGCTACCAGGTACACAGCAAACGCCACAACACAAGGCACCGATACCGATATCATCGTGGCCCATCAGAAGCACCGTAGCTTGCTTATATGAACCTATCCCCTCCATGTCGACTCCTGTGGTGACAGACAAGTGGGCAGGGAACTTTGATTGTGACTTTTGTCGTAGGAAGCGTCTGGTGGGAGAAGAGTTTTCCAAAAAGGCAAGGATGCTACATGTAATTCCAGGATGGATCGACCTTCCTGGTGATGTTACGTTTCTAACACACTGTCTCTCAATACGGGACGTCTTATCCGTGCTCTTCTTTCTGCATGTAGGCACTGGAGAAGTACCGTAAGAATGGTGGCAAACTTAAATGCAAGCAATGTGTTCAAGAGCAGGAAGAAAAGGAACGCCAAGCGGCAGCCGCCAAGCGATCCACCAACGCTAACGCTACTAGTGAGGGCGAAACCCTTGCTTGCAAATCTTGTACCAAAGAATTGGATGCTTCCCAGTTCAACAAGAATCAATGGAACAAGGGAGCTGGCAAGGCGAGATGTCGCAGCTGTGTGGAAAAGGCACTGGAAGAAGAAAAGCAACAACAAGCATCCTCCCAAGCGACCAAATTGCAAGCGGCCAAAGACAAGGTCGCACAAGCCGAAGCTAGCGGGAACGCCCAAGCCATATTGAAGGCTGAATCCGAGCTGGCAGCTTTGGAGGCCGAAAAAGTGACCGGTTTGAAGCCTGTCAAAATGAGCAGTCGAGCTGGCGGTGGACGAGGAAGAGGGAGAGGCGGACGAGGCAGGGGTCGAGGTGGTCGGCGCTAAAAACGAGTTTCAGGTTGATGAGGACAAAAGGTCATTGCCTGCACTACGCTGCCGTCGCCAACAGCAGCAACAACAAAACGTCAGACTGCTGTTTCTGCAAAAGCGGTCTGTTCTACTGGACCAGGAGGAACTCGTGTTCCAATGTTGCCACGGAACAGGAAGAGAGAAATCTACAATCCACTGTCTTTTTGATTGGCAAGGTTGCTGCATTGCGTACATAATCAGGGACTAAAATTTTATAATGGAAAACAATCAGCAGGGATCAACAGTCCTTTTTGAAAAGACGACGAACCATTACCAAGTTGCCGTGTCGAAATCGAATCAAGTATTGTCGGCTGGGACTTCATCGAACAATCCATACTCGCGGTCATCCGTGTCCTCGCCGAGACTGGAAAGATAGCGGCGAACCGCCTTTTCGATTTCCATGACAGAGAGCGTCACGAACATGAACCCAACCACAATGGCCCATTGGATACCATCCATACCCTCCATTTCAAAGATTGTCTTGTTCAAGCCGGGGGTATGGGTAATCACGACCTGCAGACCAACCACAATGGCAACCGAGATCCAGCAAAGCTTGTTTCCACGAAAGATGCGCGGATGAAACGAACTGTTGTAGGCAAATCGAGCACTGAGTGTAATGGCCACGGCTCCAAACGCAAGGGTGTTGAGGGCTTGTGCCCGTTGCTGTTCGGGGGTGTAAGCTGTCGACAGGTCGCGGATCAAAAAGACGGAACCAACCGTCGTAGCAACCAATGTCGTTGTCGCCAAAACAATTCGAAGAAAGAGGAATCGACCAATGAGGCGTTTGCCCAAACGTCTGGGTGGAAGACCCATGATGCCATGTTCTGCTGGCTCAACAGCACAAACGAACCCAAGAGTGACAGCACAGATAAGGTTGCAGTAGAGCACTTGGATAGACGAGAGTATCGCATCTGGGAGACCAAAAATCAATCCAAAGAGGACTGTCAAACCCTGGGCATTGTTGATGGGAGTGTTGACAAGAAGCACCTTGCGAAGATTGTCCCAAACGACTCTTCCTTCTCGCACAGCTGTCACAATGGTGGCAAAGTTGTCATCCGCTAAAATCATCTATGTATGTACGGAAGGATTGGATGCAGTGTTAGGTGCTGTCGAAATTGGGTCGAGACATGGCTGCACAAACTATCAAACCAACAAAGCTTACATCGGAGGCTTCGCGAGCGACATCAGTGCCTTCCTTGCCCATAGCGACACCCATGTCGGCTGCCTTGAGGGCCGGGGCATCATTGACACCGTCTCCTGAACGGACAGACGTTGACAAGCCAGTGAGTTTTGATTGCAGCTAGAACACAATCTGCAAAATAATCGCCGGGTACTTACCAGTCATTCCACAGACTTCACCCTGAGCCTGGAGTGCCTTGACAATACGAATCTTGTTCTGAGGAGATGCACGAGCAAAAACATTATACTTCTGGACAGCAACCCCCAACTCTTCGTCGTTCATGGAATCAAGTTCGGGACCTGTGATAGCTTCAGAGTGTTCCTTGTCAACCAATCCAAGTTGGGCTCCAATCGCAAGGGCCGTGTCTTTGTGGTCGCCCGTGATCATGGCAATTCTTACACCGGCACCATGAGCTTCCGACACAGCCAATGCACATTCAGGCCTGGGTGGGTCAAGGATGCCACAGAGACCTACCATGGTAAGCCACTGTCCCTTCTCAAGCACGAACTCTGGATCAAGTTGTTGACCGTCGCTGACGGAACCCTCAGGTAGACTTCCTCGGCAAAGTGCGAGCACGCGGAGCCCATGAGAACTAAGAATGGAAATTTGCTCCATCCAGAACTCGATATCGATTGGCTCCAAATCATTGTCGCCAAGCTTTCCATTGCGAGCTTGGTATTTGCAGAGGTTTACCATCCTATCTGGGGCGCCCTTGACATGAACAACCAAGGAGCCAAGGTTATCGGTACCATCGTTGGCTTCATTTGAAGGATGAACAGTCGCCATGAACTTGTATTCAGAACTGAAGGGAAGCTCAGCAGCGACTGGTGCACCGTTTTTCACGTCAGACACGTTCACGTCTCCCATGTATGCTGCTCTGATGATTGCGAGTTCTGTTGGATTGCCGATTTCTCCGTTGCGGCCTCCGTTTTCCCCAAGAACGCACTTGCTGCAAAGAATACCACCGGCTAGTGCTTTGCGAAGGAAGGAGGCATCTGGCACGTCCGCACCACCCTGAGCGTCTGAGGGAAGATCTGAGCAAGCCCCTCCTTCGTTCTGAGAGCCACCTCTGACAACGAGGTAGTTATCGTCTTGGATAAAGTTGCTTGGAGAGCGAGTGGTGCTGTTGACATTGACTCTGTAGCGCTGTCCTGAAGTTACGAAAGCTGTAAGCGACATTTTGTTTTGAGTAAGAGTGCCAGTCTTGTCTGAACAGATTACCGTAACACTGCCAAGTGTCTCGACAGCAGGGAGAGCCTTGATGATGGCGTTCTTTCCTGCCATGATGGAAACAGCCCAGCCATAGCTCATGGTGACAATCGCTTCCAAGCCCTCAGGGATCATTGCGACGCAGCACACAAGAGAAGTAGCAAAGGCTTCCATGGGAGGCAACCCAGATCGCTTCCAGGCGACGAAGAATGTGACGGTACCAGTGCAAAGGATGAAACCCGCAAGCCAAGTCGAGACACGGTCGATCTGTTCAAGGACATTCGTCTTCTTTTTTTCAACTTGACTGACGAGTGAGTTGATTTTCCCAATCTCGGTTCGGTCTCCTGTGCCAACAATGACACCAGTTCCTGAACCTTGTGAGACGAGTGTTGCGCTGAAGCACATGTTGTTGCGGTCGCCCAATGGAACTTGGAAAGGATCTGTTTGAACGATGATGGTATCAATCTTTTTGTCAACGGGTACGACCTCGCCTGTCAGAGCTGCTTCTCCGCATGCCAAATTGTTCACCTGAATCATTCTCAAGTCGGCTGGAACTCGGTCTCCCACACTGAGCTTGACAATATCGCCAGGAACAATCTCCTGCGCGGGGACCTTGACGTCTTTTCCGTCGCGCACGACTACAGCCTCGCTGGATAGCATGGCCTTGAGAGCCTCCGCAGCCTGCTCGGCACTACCTTCCTGGACAATTCCAATCGTCGTGTTCACCGTGACAACGAAAATGATGAGGCCAACTTGAATCCAGTTGGTCAGGACCACATCTTTGTCATTGCTGGTCGCAGCACGGATTGCAGACACAACGGCAACGAAAGCGAGGATACCAACCAAAACGTTGCTTAGATGATGCCAAATCTTCTTGAGCAGGGAAGTCTTCTCTTTCTCAGAGAGCTGGTTGGGACCGAAACGATCCAAGCGGCGCTTCGCCTCTTCCGCGGACAGGCCATGGCCCCAGTGCCCTCCGGATTTGTCGCATCCAAGTGCCTCCAAGATTTCCTCGAGGCTTGTTGCGTGCCAAGGAAGGCCGTTGCCTGGACTGGCAGCATCGTTGGAAGTAGTGTTGATGGTGCCCGCCTTGGAAGTGGTGGTAGCATCGTTGGAAGTAGTATTGACGGAGAGCTTCATTGTTAGAATCGTACTGTAGTTGTGATAGTGTTGCAAGGAATTGCTTTCGAAATCTGTTATTCAAGCTTTTTGTGAGCTTGGTTTTATGAGAGCGAAGAACCACTTTTCAGAGCCAACGCAAAGATCGGATCAAAGACTGGACGGCTCTCCCTCTTCGTCGCTCGCAGCCATTCATTTCAATTAAAATCGACGGACTTCGTGGTTGCCTCCCCTTCCACCAATTATTGATTCCCACCTCGAACCAAGGCAAATCGGTCAGTCCCACCATCGCGCAGCATCCTCATCCTCCAACGCAAGCGTATCCCACACACCATGGAAGATCTGGATAGCTTATTCAGGTAGGTGCGGTAAAGCGATGTATTCATTGAAGTAGTGCTTCGACCCTATGTTTACCTAAACTATCCATTTTTTAATCTGTCTTCCTGCGCCGCTCTTGGCATCGTCGTCTTCCGAGTGGAGCGGTCAATAGGAGCGATGCCTACCAATGCATGGGCCGTTGCTTCAGGGTTATCCTTTAGCGGCCTTGGGAACTGTCCAATGTAGTTGGTAAACATAGATCTCAAATTGGAATAAAACCATCCACTTGGCTAGCTAGCTATACTGCGTCGAAAGTGGACAAAGGTGGGCTTCATCATCAGTTGAACACGACTGTGCCGCAACGGGACAGGCGACCGGACAGAGCTATGGGAGCAGAAAATACTCCGTACCGGTAACTAACTAGCTAGAGGTAAAATGATCTGCTTTGGCGAACAGAAGACCAGCTAACCTCGAGGCTTCTACATTGTACGACATAGGCGCTGCCAGCGGGAACACATGATGACTGTTCAGAGTTAGCTGCTTCTTGTGGGTTGGTGCTCGTGCTGATCTCGACTGAAGTTGCGCCAACTTTGTGAAGGGACCGGTGCTGCGACTGCTGGAGACCCCATTGGTCTTGCCATGGGTTGCATGGAAGAGTGTGGTGTCGTTGCTGACAAGCCGTACGGCAAGGGAGCTGGAAGTGGAACTGGTGCTTGTGCTGGCATGATGTTCTGCGAGGACACCGGAGCTGTTGTCCATGTGTTGGAGGGAGCTGCCGCGTGAGGGACCATCACGGACAACGGGACTGGCGACGGTGCGGGTGCCATTGCGGTCCGAGGCATGTGGGCCACCACTGGAGTCCTGGCATTGATTGCAGTGAAGACGGAGGAGCAGGTAGGTACGATGGCTCCAGAGACATATGGCATCGGAGCAGGTGCTGGAGTCTGAGGTCGCGGTACATGTGCCTGTTGTTGCGTGTAGCTGTTCAAAGCCACCAAAGCTAGCTCCGTTCGTTCGACGTTGAGAGGTATCAAAGATCGCGAGTTGTCAACCGGGGTCAACGCTTGAGAGCCTGATTGGAGAGATAGGTTAGGAGTACTCGCTGGCACTAGAGCACGCGAAGGAGGCGCAGCTAGCACCAGAGCACGAGACTGTTCCGGCGGTACTAGTGTGACCAGTGCCCTGCTCTCTTCTTCTGCTGGGTCCTCTTTGATGGCTACCAAGGCTCTGCTCATTTCCTCTTCTGCATTCTCAGGAATAAAGACTTCCAAATAGAATCTGTTTTCCATGACGCCAACATTGGCATGATGCCGATACAGAAAATATATTTCGTTCTCTTCATCACTGTAATCCTCACAAATGACTTCTACCATTTCTTCCAACGTTGTGGTGGGCTTGACGAGACAGGCATAGCACACTGCAGCAACACCGCACAAGGTAATGGCTGTCGACAACATGATTCCTGCTGTGCCAAAGATATCTCCGCCAACAGCAATGTCAATGATGACCAAGATAATGCAAATAGTGGCCATTGTAACAATGAACCATGGACTCAAGCCCATGGTCGATTGGGCTTGACGAATGGCAGAATTAATGTCCAGCACAAACTGGTTCCATTCCTCTTCCTCGATCTTTTCCTTCAGAACTCTGGGCATTCGAGGATCCAGGCCCTGAGCTCCAAGAAAGTGCAACTTGCACTGGGGCATGCTTCAATTGTATGATGCGATCGAAAATTGGCAATCTGTACAAGATGTGCCATGAAGTGGATTCCTCCAGTGGCTGGGATGTACCAGAAACAACCAAAGTTGATTTGATTCCTTATGATCAATATGCAAAGCAGCCTTCACCGCAAGCACAAGCTGTCGTCTATCTGATGAATATAGGAGTGTGGATGTCAGGAGTCAGGAGCTTTCTGGCATGCAGTTGGGTCTCCTTTCTCATGTCAACGATTGTTGAGCATCGATGGTGAAATCCAAATCCAGTGATCTCAGGATTTACAGTTCATGACTTCCGGGGGATCGCACTGTAGAAACAAGTGTACTTGTACCGGTCTTTGAGGCTTGCTCACTGGACTTCTTCTGGCACCGGTACCGTACCTCGGCATCCAGAATCTGTGGAGTTACACCAGCTGGAGCGAGCTACATTGTAGCTAGCTACAAGGGAAATGATATAATTACACAAAGATTATTACAGACTGTCTCATGGTAGCTAGCTAGCCTGCATTGACAATCGATGGGTTCTGCTGCAGCAAGTAGAACACATGATCCAAGTTGTCGGCCTGGGAAATAATAACGCTCTTGAGCGTGTGAAAGTCTGTGTTGACGTCCAGTTGCAGATGGCGTATCCCAGCTTTGTTAAGCCCCAAAAAATAATTGATGCGCTTTGTGGATTTGGGTGTAAACCTTTTCCAGAACGCATCCTCATTCTTCCAAAATCCAGTCAGCTTGACTTCTTCCAACGTCTTGTTGGCCCTCAAACAATTGGCAAGCTCGGCAATGCAAGTCTGATCAATGCCGTCCGCGCTCCCCTGCAGAGACAGTGTCTGAATCGTTCTGTTTTGCCAGAGAGCACGGAATAGTGTGTAAGGACCCTCCGTAGTTAACTTTACCCCTCTTGCAGGAGTGAGCGTCAGACTCTTGAGGCACTTCATGTTGGGCAACACCTTGGCGACAGCCTTGAGCAATCTACAGCCATTGTCGCCCTTGTACTTCTCCAGCGACAGTTCCTCCAATCCTTTGAGCCCAATCAGCAGCATGACCAGTTTGGAGAAGAGATTACTACCCGAGACGTCTAGCTTGTAGAGCGTCAATCGGGTCAGAGGAGGACGGTATCGGATCAAGGGGTCCACAAAGAGACTCCCACAGTCCTGAAAGACAATGAGATTCTTGAGGTTTTTAAGCTGGCAGATGGCACTGACGACCTCCATTTGTTCCGTCAGTGGCAGGCTTTCAATGGCACTGGGGTAGACCGTGGCGTTGCGCACGGACGTGTTTCCCTTCATGGCTTCGGCCAACCGTTCCGAATCCGTCAGGGCCGTCGTTAGCTGCAACCAGTACAAATCGGTGGCATTGGCCTCGAGTTTTCGGATAATGTAGTATTCTCCCTCACCGAGCGACTGTTCGTCACTGTCATTGCTCAGATTGTCAAAGATGGAATCTTCAAAGACGGTGAGATGATCAATGTCAAAGTCTTCCAGCTTGATGCTCACGGTACGTTTCAAGGGGGCTGGTCCCTGCGCTTGCTGTTCTACTAGAAATCCACTGGTATCCCGAAAGAGGAAGGGTTTTTCTGGTTCTGGTTCTTCTTCTTCGTCATCGGAGGATTCAATGGTGGATTCGGTTCGAAAGCTAGTAATGGGTGCCCCAGGTTTGACGTCTTGCACGTTTCCCCACCCCAGATTGTTCATGACGGCATCCAATTCTTTTTCATGCATCTCGTCGTCGTCGTCGTCGTCATAATCACTATTCGTGTCGTCGTCGCTGTCGTCGTCATCATCGTCGAGTAGACTGTTCGAGTGTTGAATGGCACGACGTTCTTGAATGTTATGTGGGGATGTAATCAATGCGTACGGAGTAACCAGATTGGTGTGACGAACCACAGGTGGGGCAGATTGTACTTCATCTGGGGCATCATGGTGACATGGGTCATCCTCGTCGTTTTCCCCATAGCGGTATAATGGTACCTTGCGAGTACATGTAGTAGTAGTTGTTTCCAGTAGAGGCGGAGTTTCCTCGGCTTCTTCTTCTACATGTAGTACTAGCTCCTGCTGGGGACGATACTTGGCACTTTCCACGAGAGCCTCGTCCATGGTAATCCCCGAACAAACCGTACATCCCGAGTCATTCGAGACGACTATAGGTGTAAACGGGTCATCATCTTCGTCATCGTCATCTTCAAAGGCAGCGAAAAACGGGTGGATCACAAACTCCTTGTCATTGGGCAGATACTGCCGGTTCAAGGGCCATCGTCCAAATCCGGAACGGATGCGTTCTCTACTACGGCTCTGATAGGTGCCTCTCGGTGGGTGGTTCATGGCAGAACAGATGGATGGTGCGGCACCTCTCAAAGACGAAATTGGCGGCGTGGATGGACGAGTGGATGGAATTCAATCCGTAAGTAACGCGCAACTTCCACTACATTCAAGCTGCCGACTAATATGGAATTGTGAATAAGATAGATGCAATCTCATATGTACCGCATGATTACTCAAACTTTTCAGTGGGAAACTGTCGAGTGAGAGAACAGTTGAAAGTTGCCGCGCACCTCTTGAAGGGTGACAAAAATTCGTCTGCCAACGGCAAAAGGGTTGGCCAAAATGTGAGCAAAATCAGCTCGTGGGTCGGCTTGGATGGAGTGAGTCGAGTCGAGTCGAGTCCAAGAAAGTGTGCGTCTAACCGCTGTGACCGGACCCTGTTTTTAAGAAACCTACCAAACCCAAGTGCACCGAGACCAGATTTCAAGGTGGCCATGGCAGAGCCCAAAGCACCGCTATCACCATGAGGTACTACTATAGTACACGATGAACCCGCCCAAGCATGAGACGACGGCGACAACAACGACCGACATCATGGCCGACGCGGAACTCACCAAGGAACACGGAATTCTTGTGTATCAAGTGGTGAAGAACAGGACACCCGTGGAACAGAGAGAGGATCATGCCAAGCAGCGGGCCAAAGTTGAGGCAACCCTTGGAGGGATTGATAAAGATGCAGCATTGACCCAAGAACAACAAAAGCTGATCGCACAAATAAAGTCAGACGCAAAGAGGCAAAACCAAGAAGGAAAGTTAAAGCGCCAGGCCCTGCAGCGTGCCAAAGCTGAGGCACGACAAACCCTAGGTTTTGAGCAAGACGCCGAACTCACGACATTTCAAATGCAGCTCGTCAGTCAATTGGCCCAAGGAAGGTGTCTTGGTCGCCCGTGCCGCCTCATTCCGCATCCTTCTCTGGTACAAAATCTCGTGTGTCGGGATTGCAACTACGTGAAACATTGCAAAAAGGTGCTCTACTACAACAAGACGCGTCGCAAATTTCGCATGAAAGAAAACTTGCGTAGTTTGGTCTGTCCCATGTCGGCCCCATCCGAGATGGTGTTGCAAAAGATCAGAGGCACCCATGGAGTGTATACCAACACAGGGACCACTCATGTCACGTTTGCAGAAGGATTACCACCAGAGGGAGAAAGCCAACGAAAGCCCCTCATCTCGCAGCTTGCTCAGGTTCTCCACAATACACCCCTACAAGTCACGGGGTTGAATGCCATTCCCACTCACAACGACAAAACAAAAAGCCTCATTCTGATCAACCTCAAGTTGGACGAGCACAGCGATCGAGCACTGGCTCCACTTTTGCAAGCTTGCCGTTTGCCCCAATACCCTCTACATTGCACTTTGGGTGTTTTGGATACGGAAAAGGCAATGGATTTGCAGCAGCGTTGGTCCCGTCCCGACGATGGGGCGCTGACGCTGGATGTCCGCTTGCTGCACGAATTGATGCCGATACTACAGCCACGCACGCCCTCGCAACAACACTTACTTCAGGCACAACAAGTCGCCATGGCTGAACTATTAAAGCCGTAGCCAGGCCTGCCTGGGACAACACCCGGCCGACCAGCGAAATTTGTTGTAACCTCCCAAGAGGCTGTTTTTAAATCTGAACTTGCCCTGCCAGTGAGCGAATTATGCCCGACAGAGAGTTTGCTCATTGTACATGCACCAAATCTTCTCGAGTACCAACATCATTCATCCTCCTCAAGCCTGCCCTTATCCTGCATCCAGTTGTTCTTGATATCACCAGGCCAGTTGGGTCCTTCAAATGAACACTAGTACAAGCATGCTCGCAAAGCAAAGCGTTGTGTCTTCCTCCATGCATTCAGGCATGTTGGTCGGATTATTGTGATTGGACAGCCAGTCCCAGGCCAATACATGTATGCCGTACGTGTGCATCACGGCCACCATGGACAAAACAAGGTACATACCGGAAGTGCGTGGCACCATCGGCAATAGCACCCGTACTGGATCGGTGGCATTCTGTTGGTGTTGTTGTAATTGGCCGCAATCCACCACTGTCGTGGTTTGATGTTCTGGTCCACTTGAAAGACCAATTTGTTGTAATTGTTACACCGGTACGGTACCGAAGTGGAGAGCATCGCTGCACTCAGCAGAAAACAAAAGCAAATCTCTGTTTCAGTACCGTACCCGGGTCAATTAGTGTCGATTGCGACGCTAGCTAAGATTATAATCTAGCAAAATTCCTGGTGTGGCTGTCCATTTGCTCCGGCTCCCACCCAGTGTACATGTTGGTCAAGGAAATCAGTATTCCAAACCAATCCAAGGAGCCGAGCCTGTTTGTGGTATGAATCGTTCTGAACAATCGCCCCTCTGAGAGCTCTCCTTGCACAGCTTGTTGTCATTCTTTTCCTGTACAGAATAATTATTTATTTGGTATCACGACCACAACCACAAGAGCAAAAGTAGGGGCTGTGAACTTTCCCGCATCGTTGGCACCCAATATCTTCAAAACAACGCTCACATACTAGTAATCGTCATGGCAAAAGACGGCGGTTTCAGACTTTCGGCAGGTGGCACAGAAACTCTGATTGCAAGCGCTACCGGAAAAGTATGATTCACAATAGAAGCATGCCCACTCCTCGCAAGCTTCGCAGTAGCCCAGGTCAATGCGACCAATATCATGGCAGCAGGCACTGCATGCCTTCTTGCCACATTCCGGCTTGCAACATGCCATCATGTCGCTCTCGTACTCAAATTTCTCGCAAAAGGGGCAACGATCATAATCGTGGTCCAGAAGGACACAGTCTTCACACTCCATCATTTTCTGCTTTTTTTGGCATGTTCACTGCTGGCAGCATCATTGGCGTCGTCATTGTTCTCATACTTTGCCATCCAGGGGTTTTTCTTTCGAAGCTGTTCCCGCAGAGCCTTTTGGCACTCCAGCTTGCTTCCATGATCAGAGCAGTAGTAGTTTGTCAAGAATTGAAACTGAGGGATATTTCTCATGCAATTCAAAACAGAGGCACGGTCCAAAAAGCTGACCACTTCTTCTGCCATGAATGAAATTTGTCAGGCCAGAAGAAAGAAGAGCGCTCTCTCCAGATCCAAGTGCGGTAGGAGTACCGCTGCCAATGGTGATGTTGCTGTTCTTGCTACTGCTCTTGGACTCCATGGTGAAAGAGAGGTTGGTTTGCGTTGTTGCCGTGGACAAAGTGAGGAGCTCCTGCAAAGTGTGAGAAGCAAAACTTTCTCTTTCGCGTTGTGTTTGTTTGGCTCAGAACCACAAGAGCCTTATCCCTAATCAAAGAAAAGCCATCACGAACGGAACGGCTTCGCCAACCATCACTTCGAAAAGATCCATCTCATTATTCTTCTTCTGTTCATTTCCAAAGCCAAGGAGTTGCTGAGCCAAATAAATCTCTTTTGTTTGTGGTGACGTCAAGGATGATCAAGATGTTGTCTCGTCTGCTGGTGTTGTCGTCCTCCTCCTCTTGCTCTCTGGCACTTCGGCCTGCCGTGGCGTGGTTGGCAGGAGGCGGACAGCATCAATCCTCCTTCACAAGAACAACATCAATTCGATACCAAAGCACAACTACTAGTACTCCGACGACCGACGATGATTCGGCCATGGCACGATCTCGTGCTCCCTTTCGAATGCCTCGCAATTCACCGGATGATTCCGTGCCTCAAGATCTTGTTTCGTCGTGGAATCAGTTGGGTCTATGGACGGAATTGGTCGATTCCTTGACACGCGATATGAAACTGGAGGCTCCCACACCCGTGCAGAGTCTGGTGATTCCGTCTCTGTTGAAGGAGAATCCAGCCGATACGGCATTTTTGGCGGCCACGGGAAGTGGGTGAGTAGTGGAGTGGAGTTGTTTGGGAGAGGCAGATATTTTTCATGCAGAAAACACAAGTCAGAACATGGAGTGCTCACCCTCTTTCTCCTCATTCCGCTATGTGCAATATTTCTTTTTTGGTTTTGGTTGACAGGAAAACACTGTGAGTCACGCATTTTCCTGTGAAGCTCAGTGAATGAAAATACCACTGCATTGAGTGCGGTACCTGTTGCTAACCATAATATCCCATGCATTCTTCTTTTCTTGAACAGCGCCTACTGCTTACCACTGCTCCAACAATTGAAAACGACCGAAGTCTTTGGAGATGATGCCGACTCGTACGAAACACGAAAACCCAAACGACCTCGCTTACTCATTATTGCACCCACACGAGAACTGGTCACACAAATTCGAGACGTTGTCAAATTGCTGTGTCATTCCATCAAATTGTCCAGTCACGCCCTCGTGGGAGGACAAGACTATGGCAAACAACGCAAGGCACTCAATCGACCCGTCGATGTCGTGGTATCCACACCGGGTCGGTTGCTCCAACACTGGAAGGAGGGCCATGTCTTTTTTGGAGATGTCCAGTACATTGTCTTGGACGAAATGGACACGCTCTTGGAGCAGGGCTTTCAAAAAGAATTGCAACAACTTTTGTATCCACTACTATGGCAAAAACCTCTCCAAGAGGACAATCCACTTCCCAAAGAAGGAGCCCCTCGTATCATTTTGACCTCGGCAACCATGACACAGGCCATTCAGAAAATTGTCAGTCCCGGAGAGACGAATCGGCGTTTGGCCGATGCTGCCATTACGGCCAAACGCCATTTCACCAAACCTGGCAGCGAAAAGACCAAGGTGATTCTACCCAAGGTGGATATTGTCAAGGCACCTGGCTTGCACAAGGCAGTGCCACGATTGGAACAGATCTTTGTCGATGTGGGCAACATTGACAAAATCTCCTTATTGGTGGATATCGTCAGTGCAGGCAAACGCGGCAATGCGCTAAAGAAAACGGCGGGAAACCAATTGACCATGGTGTTTTGCAATACGGCAGCGTCCTGTCGTGCCGCACAGTATGCCCTCTCGGAGGCGCAGATCGATTCCCTCTCGTACCACGGAGATCTCAATTCCATTGCACGCGCCGAGAATTTGAAAAAATTTCGAAACGCCGGAGAAGATCCTGAATCCACCGAACCGCGCGTCTTGGTGTGCACCGATTTGGGAGCCCGTGGATTGGATGTCCCGCAGGTCGATCATGTCGTCATGTTTGACTTTCCGTTGAATTCGTTGGACTATTTGCATCGCAGTGGGAGAACCGCTCGTGGGGTCGCCGATGCCACCACCAAAGGAAAAGGAAAGGTCACTGCATTGGTCTCCAAGCGGGACAAGGTTCTGGCTGCTGCCATTGAAAATGCCGTCCTCAAGGGAGAACCACTCGATGGATTGTCCAGTCGAAAATCAGACTACTTGCCAGGAGGCCGGCTGGACCACCGTCGTGAGACTAATAGTAGGAATGGACGTGGAGGTCCAAGGAAACAACAGCAGCAACGACGAGGGTTACACACCAAGGGCAAAGCTGGTGGGCAATCAACTAGTAGAGGTCGCTGGTAGTGCTGTTGCATAAGGTAGATTTATGGAAAAAGAACTGTTTGTGCATATCTATCTTTGCTAGACAGCTTCTTCATTTGCCCACTTGAAATAGCTGGGGAGTACCGGGCTGAAAATTTAGTGCACTCAGGAAGTCCCGGTACAGCAGCTCGAAGCAATGCATTCGATCCAGTTGGGGTTTGCCTCCACGGTACTGGTAGTTGCCTCAGCAGAAAGCGACGAAAGGCAGGCACCCAATGTCACATCCGTTCCACCAAGAAACGAGCTAGTAATAGTTCTCTGGAAACTCTGACATATCTCCACTTGCCATCTTCCATCAAAGTTGAAATGAGTGCCACATTCTTCTCCGAAAATGGGATCTCCAGTAAATTCTTTATTTTGATCCGTTTGGATGCACTGATTCCATCCACCTGTACTGCAACTCGGCCCTCTTCCAACCCATCCATGCAGATGGTGCCAAATTTGCCATTCAATGTCAAACCAGAAGGACTGACAAGACCATGGATCAAAACCCACAAACCAGCCTCCCCTCTCTCCAAATCAGTGAAAGCTGCTGTGCCCTCTTCTGCAGCTTCCATGCATACAGCAACTTCCATCGCTGTTTCAGAATTTTGTTTGCATCTATTTGCCTCTGCTTCATTATTTTCTGACACATACTTGAATAGAGCAGATGCTTCTTTCAACTCAGCAGAGAATCCATAAATGACGTTGTTGCTTTTGACAATTCCTTGAGTGATTGTGCCGGACAAAACACATGCCCGAGTGAGGGACAGCTGGACAATATTGGTCTTGTTACTCTGTTCATCTCTATCAGTCCATGCTGCATTTCTCTCACTTTTTGTCTTTGCATTGAGTGCAACCTTTGTGATTCTCTTGAGCATGCCATCACGGCACCACCAACTTGGTTTACTTTGCTGATCATCGCTGTTTCGACTGGACCGGTACCTAGTTGTGAGATGTCCTGTGAGAAAAGCCCAATGGTCAAAGGCCAAATGCATAGGCTTCTGCTTAGGACCAAGATTACCAAACAGAACAATAAATGCCCACCGTTTGACTGCTTCCCCCAAGTATGACGTGGCTTCCTTCTCTTGTCCTGATGCATGGAAGCATTGCGCAAGTCGATGAAAACTTTCTGGTTGCCTTGAGCTTTTGTGCTTTGCGAATTAGCTTCTTACCACCAGCAATATCCCCCTCTGCTATCTTCTTTTCTGCTGACAACACTAGGGCGTAATATTCACCGCCCAAAGCTTCCACAATGTTGGAAAAAGGTTCATTAGCAAGTGCATTACAATCCAACCCTAAAGGTTCCACAATTTCAGGGAAAAGTTTACGAAGGTCATGAACAACATTCTTTTTCTTTGTTTTAGCTTCCTTCTTGTGTCATTTTTTGTGTCTTGGCCAAGCCTCCTGGAAACACTGTTGAGAGCAAAAAAGGGCTGGAATAAAGCCTTCTTGATGACATTGTGGACACTGCTTCTGGAATTTCTTGTTGGCAGGTTCTGCTGTTTGACAGCCCCAACAGACTCTCTCTGCCTTGAAATCTGGTGGTCTTTGCATAAGCTCTTCCACTGCCGACTCCATCGTGATAGAAGCTCGAGCTAGCGCGCTAGTGCTAGGTACCGATACCGACCATTAGTTACATGGAAGTGGAACTCAAGGGAGCTTCCGTTGTGGATCTTCTTTATGGTTTGCCTTGATGCCTCTTTGGTTTTCGCTCAAAAGATCGAGGTCGGGGTTCCTGATGTACACAAACTAACTGGCTTATATCTTTTATTGTACTTAAGGCGTGCCGTAGAAGAAACTTAGTGTTTAATGAAGCAGCAGACTGTTAAATACCGCGAGGCATAATCTCGTAAATAGTCTGTCCACTGTTTGTGGTGGTAAATGGTCATGGGAAGGGTCATGACGTCACCTGAACTGGCACATGCTTAGTTATCCTCGTGACAGCTCTGTGTCCTTCACAAACAACTGGTGAAATAATGAGGCTCCTAATGCATTAGCTCTTCCAACTCAAACGTTGCTTGTTGTTCCTTCCGCAAAGCGCAAACAGATCCAATATTCTTGTTCAGCTACAGGTCCTCCTCACCAAGCCAATTGAGCAAATCGAATGATCGACCATGGCGGACGTCGATATTGACGAAGAAGACGACGAGGTGGTACCAAACCCAGCCGAAGATGGCACCAGTGGAAAGGATGAGAACGGTGGCAAAGAGGATGACTCCAAGGAAAAGCGAAGGAGCGGCGGCAGCCGTGATGGTAGCCGTGATGGTGATGACATCAAGCGAAGCAGCCATAGAGGATCTAGTAGAGACGACGACAAGAGACCAAGGTCTTCTAGTAAGAGTGATTTGAGACGAAGTGGTCATGGCGATCGCCGTTCCAGCGACCGAAAACGTGCCAGTCGAAGCAGCCGCAGTGACAGTGAAAGGCGTCCCAAGGAGACGGAAGAAGAACGGGAAGAACGGAAACGAAAGGAACGAGAAGAGCGAGAAAAACGAGAAAGTCTCAAGGGTGGTGATGCCCTTCCTCGCATTGACCGTCGAGAATCGAGACGTCATTTAGTCGATGACAAGAGGAGCAGTAGTAGTGGCAAAGAGCGGCTGAAACGTTCCAGCACGTATGACCACACTGGTCGAGACAGAGATCGGGATCGTGATAAACATCGAGATCGAGATCGAGATCGGAGCCGAAGCAGCAGTCGCAGTCGAGGAAGCTACAAGAGAGCCTCCAGCGAGAAGAAAATGCTGGGAGGTGTTGATGACAAGGCAGACGACAAAGACGACAACGAATTGCTCTTTGGTGATGAAAAGGATCGTAAAGACAAGGATAGAGATCATCGCGACAGAGATAAAGATCGCGACAGAGATAAAGATCGCGACAGGAGGAGGAGTGACAGAGACCGGGATAAAGATAGAGACAGGCGAAGAAGCGACAAGGACAGAGATCGAGACCGAGATCGCGACAGAGACCGGCACCGTGATGGCAAGAAAGAAACCGATGAGGAGAGAGAAAAGCGGCGAGCTGAGCGAGAGGAGCGAAGAAAGAAGGAGAAGGAGGTACGTAATGCCATGGTTTTTAATAGAGTTTGGTGTGCTCCATTATCTCACACACAATCCTCGACCTATTGCTCACAGGAAAAGGAGGAGGACGAACGACGCCAGAAAGAGCGTAGGGAACGCAGAGAAAAGGAGCGTGAAGAAAGAAAGCGGCAGGTAAGCAAAGGAACGTGTTTGTCAACCAGATCGTTTTGGCAGAAATCCATTCTCACCGTGCTTTCTTCAGGATGAAGAAAAGCGGAAAGAACGAGAAGCCTTGAAAGAGGAACGGCGAAAATCCAAGTCTTCCGATGGTGGAAAGGAAGGAGCCATGCAGGTTAATCGCGCCGATTTGAGGCAAATTAGCAAAGAAAAATTCACCAGTGTCTACAGTCTCGGTAAAAAGATCTACAAAGGAGACGACACTCGGGTTCACAAGTGCAGCCACTGGGCCACCGGTACGGAACGATGTGTCAAGATTACGCCAAAAAAGTCCAGCTCCTGTCATGAGTTTGACATGTTGAAGAATATGGATCACCCCAATATCCTTACCATGTAAGTGAATCGAATCAATTTCCTCATGATCCCTGTTGCTTCCATGTTGGCGAGCATCAGTCTCCTCAACGTCGACTTGAATTTCCTTCGGTTTGGTTAAAGGTACGATTTGTTTGTGGAGGAGGACGACATGGGCTTTGAATGGTTCTTGGTGGTGGATCTTTGCAAGGGTAGCAGTCTCTACAACTACCTGCAGAAACGATCCTGTAAGCCGGGAAAGGAAATCGTGGACGAAACGCCGCCACCCCCAGACCCCGATGATGATCCGTTTGGATTGGGTGGCCTGGTGAGCGGTATGGAAGAGATGGCCAAAGGTGTGGACGATATGGTCAAGACTATCGCGGGGGAATCCACGGATGATGACATCAGTGAAGTAGAAGAGGGGGACTGCTACGGAATGGCTGAAGACGAAGTGAAACAGGTCATGCTGCAGGTTCTCTCGTGCGTCAATTATCTACACAAGAATCGTCTTGTCCACGCAGGTGCGAACATCACAACAACAAACATCGAAGCCTGTTGAAAGCATGTTTTACGACAGCACATCTGACCTCTTCTTCTTTTGACACCCTCTGACTGCCAGACATCAAGCCTGAGGTGCGTGCAGGAAATTGCGTGTCACGTCCATTATGATGGCAGCATGCCGCTCACACAGAATCTTTTCCTGCATCTCCCAGAACATTTTGATGGCAACCCAAAAGGATTTGTCATCCATCAAACTGCTAGACTTTGACAACTCGGCATTGCTGCGGAAGGCAGACGACAAGATCGGTATCCAGAAGGGAACTCCAGAGTACATGGCACCAGAAGTACATGCTGGCACCAAGTATGACTACAAGTGCGATGTCTGGAGTTGGTACGTTTGCTTTTGTCAGCTCGAGAAAAGACGTTGGATTTCACGTTGCAGGCTCCTCACTACCTCGCTCCTTGCCAATCCTGACTCCCTTTAGTGGTGTCCTTGCGTACCAGCTCCTTTCCAATGGTTTGCCGTTCGGCGATACTCGCGAAGACGAAACTAGTGAAGAAGATGTCTCCAACAGAGTCCAAGAAGGGAAGTACACGATGGCTGGCCCTGCCTGGGGACCTGTCTCTGATGACGCCAAAGATTTTGTGAAGCATCTTCTGGTGCTTCGTGATAAGAAGCGCCCTACGGCAGAGAAGGCGCTCACCCACAGGTTCTTGGCTGGAAACAAGAAGGGAGAGAACTCCGCGGCGGCGGCCACCACTGTCAAGTTGTCAGGAAATGCGGTGGCCATGAGCGCCATGACGAACTTCGGAAAGTAAGTGTCTGCCTTTTCAAGTCAGGGACGAGAGTCTATCTAGTTGTTTCATTCGTTGGCCTTATGTTCGTCTCGTTTTCTCCAGATTCAAGGCCGAATCCAAGCTCAAGAAGGCAACGTGCGCTTTCATTGCTTCTCAGTTGTTGACCAAGGAAGAAAAAGACAAGATCGACAATGTCTTCAGGGCTATGGATATCACTAAGGATGGAAAACTGTCCAGACAGAGGTCAAAGCTGGCTTCTTCCAGATTTTCGGTACTTTCATGTCGGACAAGGAAATCGACGATATGTTTGATAGGGTAGATTGCGATGGAACGGGCGAAATCGAGTAAGTGTCCTTCAAATTGTTGTACTTCCAATCGGTTGCGTGGCTTCTTTTCCCAACACGACATTTTCGCTTCACTTTGCAATTAGGTACTCGGAGTTTGTCATCGCGTCAATGTCAGAGACTGATCTGCTGAGCACGGACAGGCTTCGAAAGGCGTTTCAGTTGTTCGACAAGGACAACAGTGGTTCCATCACAATCAGCGAACTTCGCGACATTTTCCAATTCTTCCAGACAGCTGGTGCTGACATGGACCAAGACTACATTGACAAAGTCATCGCTCAAGTTGACGCTGACGGCGATGGGGATGTCAGTTTCGAGGAATTCTGTGATATGATGAGGAACGGGATCGCTATTGCGTAGCCACGTAACCCCTTTGTTTTAGTTGACGATCTCGTAGTATTTCCGTGCTATTCGTGTGCTTCATTTTCTCTCGCCAATGCGTGCAAGTGAAACCAAGAACCAAAACCTCAAGTGCCGCACGCCATCTGCCTGCTCTCTCTTCTCTTGACTACCGGTACTGGCTAGCTAGAGCCACAGACTCGGAATCCACGAGAGGATCATGGCTAGCTAGCTAGACGGATGGACCTACCGGTATGGATTTGGTACAGTGGTACCGGCGCGGTACCACTCTGATCCTTTGCTCCTCTAATAGGCCGCTCTCTAAGCAAGGCTCGATCGCCAGCCAGAGTGGACGGATTCGCAATGCCAAAGAGAAGATAAGGCAGGCCGGATCAAAACCCGGACGGCACCGTCTGTCATCGTCCGGAGAAACCGTTGGAACAGATCCTGAGAAAACAGCCAAAACAAAAAGTGAGCAACCACAATGAGGCTCACAAGCGTTCCAGCACCAATGACACACTCTTACCCTTGCACAAACTCAATAATAGACATAGACTTTACTTCTGTTAAACTATTTGGATGCACTAGTAGTGGCTTGACTGGTAGTTCGCTCCTTCCTGGCTGATCTAGCCTTGTCGGTGTTGGCTTTGATCTTGGCACGGCGCTCCGGCCCAGGATCGACGTTGTAGTAGAGTAGCCCATTCCTCTTCTCTTCGGGAACTAGAGGAGCCCACTTATCATACATCTCCTTCCACTTGATATCTTGAATTCCAACAGCACCAACTGGCTCTAATTCAGTGTCAATCGCGTCCTTCCAAAACTTTTTGTCTTTGCCACGAAACTCAGGACGTAGCATCTTTTGGGAGCTCTTCTTCTTGCTGTCGTGAGTCGTCCTCTTGACCAATGTCTCCCCATTGTCAATGTCAATGTCATAAGTAAAGCAGTGGTAGTTCTTGACTTTGCTTGGCTTGAACATGTACGTGCTTTCAAAGGAATCCCAGTCAAAGAAGAAGTCAGCGTCACAGAAGAGTGGCTCCACGGAGTCATGTCGCATCGACTGAATAAGATCAGTGGGTAGGTAGATGTTGCTCTGTGGTATGTTAACAGCAGTGGAAGAGGAGTAGGTGAGACGTTTGCAGCATTTGGTTGACTGTCGCTGATAAGACAAATGACACTGGCCGCGTCAAAACCCAGATGGGAGTTCTGGATTTCAGGTTTTGAGGAGAACACAAACCATGACCATGGCGCTTACCTCTCTGTATTCCTTCTTCATGACATTGAAGAGTCTGTCACAGTCATTCTTTGTGTGCCCCTTGATAAGGAATGCAGCTCTTGCGACCTTGGTGTAGCCAAGCTTTACCAAGAAGAACAACAGTCGCATCACCATTCGGTTCTTGTTTTGACCGGCACAGTTGTCAAAGATCAGAGTAATCTCCTTGTAGGTGTTGTCAAACAGTTGGTCGGTCATGATGTAATGGCGAATGTGATACCAGAGTAGAGAGCAAACGTTGTTGCCTCCCTTCTTCGCGATGTCTTCAGTGTAGGTGTAAGCATGGAGCTTGTCGGTTGAGCAGTCAACAACCCCAAAACAGTAGGCTGAGAGTGGAGAATAGTAATAAGTCTCTCCGGGTTGTTCAAAGCCAAAGGAAGGAATCGCCATGTTCTGGGAATAGTCTGCCACAAAGCAGAGGCACTTCTCTGCAGGTGGTTTGTCCTTGGTGGCAATGGCTTCTTTCTTCTTCAGCTGATAATACTCTCTCTGATTCCTAGCATCTCTGACATGTTGGGCTGCAGTGAGAAGCATCTCCTCTTGTTCTTCCATCATCGCTTGCTTCTCTTCTCGCCTCTGCTTCTCCAAAGCAGTCAGCTCAGAGACCGGCAAGTCGTCATCATCAGAGTCGTCAGCTCCAATTCGTGCCTCCCTTTCTTGGTTCTTCTTCTGCACATTGACAAGATACTTGTGGCGATTCGCATAGACATAGCAGTCGCCACAGATGTCTTCTCTGGCGGAAGCAATAACTAGCCGGGGGTACTCCTTCTGCCAGAAGTCCCAAAACTTGGACCAAGAGCAGACTTTCTTCTGTTCCACGCCAGCAACGGGCTCATGTTTTGCATTCCCATTCCTTGACACCTTGGCTTTCCATCCATTCTCGCGAAGGTATCTTCCATAAAGGGATCGCTTGGTTTGGGAAGCAGGAAGCTCCATCAGTTCCGTCTCATCGCTCTTCAACGTGTTCTGCAAACTGCCATCAACCAGTTCACGGACAAAAAGGGTAGCTCGAGGCTCTGCCAACTGTCCAACTTCATAGAAGAACATGTTCAATGACCGGTAAACGTCACGGTCCACTTTGTGTTGATTGCCCTTGTTTCCATGTTTGTTGTTCTTCTTTCCGTCCACGATGTTCTCGACGTTCATCCATTTTTCATAACCAAATCCAATGAGACGGATCAAAGTGTCACGGCAACAGGAGTCGTAAGCTGTTCCTGGAAGGACATAACAGCGGTGTTGCTCCACTCTGTTGAACATGTACTTCGACAGTCGGTGCCGATGTCTAACGTACTTGACCCACTCCATACAAAACTCAATCTGGACTGAACGTGTCATGAGACCAAATCGCCAAAGAAAGTCGACAATGAACTTGAATTCCAAAGTTCCGTTGGCTGGAATGTCATGGTTGCAGGTGCATGTGGTGTGCTGGCTGTTGTTCCTGATTGAGACGCAGTTTGGAAGACCTCGATAGGTGGCAAGCCAATCAGCAATCTCCTCTTTGAGAGGCTCCACGCTCACCGGATCCTTGGCATTTTCCCCTTTCACAATCCGATTTCGAAGGCTAGGCGAGTGGATCTTCTTCACAGGGCTAACAGTAACCTTGGCGGTCGTGTTGGTGGTGTCTGCAGGACTACTAGGCTCCGTCATGGTGGTCAAATAGAGGACTTTTGCCTCATCTTTGGTTGACTGGAAGAAAGAGGATCGAAATCGAAACTACTCGGAAAATGGCAAAATCTTCATTCCGATAGCTGTGGGAGTCAGCCTCCGAAGGAACGCGCACGACTACTTAGATCTGTCGGTTGGCTTCATTATAGTAACTAAGCGGACCTAGCCAATGGTTGACACACCGTTAGAAAGCTCTAAATACGGAGAAGCCGGCTAGCATTTAAAACTATTTTCGAGGTTCCTCACATTTTGACCGACGACGGACGGACGTTAGCCGGCTTTTGATCCGGCCTGCCTTAGATGTGGTGTCACCCTAACTGTTACTCTAGCTAGCTAGCAAGTACACGTAGAGCCACTTTCTTGGACAGAATCATTCGAATCGAATCCCAGTTTGGCCCGTGGAACACATTCGCAGACAGCTTGAAATAATAGTTGAGGTAAATAATAGCCGCTAAATATTTGACTAAGAATAATACCTTTACCAAATCTACCTGAAATTTGACTCCCATTCCCTAAAGGCACATGTACCGGTACCAATGTACCGGCGTACTGTACGGTAGCACTACGGATAGCGGTCATAGCGGTAGGAGGGTGGTTTTTCTGAAGATTGTATGACTGTCGCAGATGACCGAAGACTTTTTTATTAAAGCATCCCTTTCTGACAAATGGAAACAGAGAAGGAAACTGGCATGGTACTATTAGTCTAGTAACTAGTAAGGCCGCTCTCTACCCAAGCGACTAAAGTAGCGACTAAGCCATATTTCGTAGTTTAGTCGATAGTTTAGTCTCTGAGGGTGGTGTCTACCCAAGCGACTAAACGTCCCACGGACTAAAGGCTTTAGTCATTATGTTCGCTCACCGACTAACGGGAGGCTGGTTAGTCGGTGAGCGACATAACGACTAAAGCTTTTTAAGAACTCTTTATGAAAAAAGAACAGCACCCTCATTGCACAGCCTCACTATCAGAGCATCGCGACAGAGCTGATAGAGTAGAGGTGCAACCGATCGAACGATCCAAGAGGAGTATCGGCCGATAGTAGAGGAGTAGAGGTGCAACCGATCGAACGAACGATCGAAGAGGAGTATCGGCCGATCGGCCGATAGTAGAGGTGCGATCGAACGATCGAACGATCGAAGAGGAGTATCGGCCGATAACAAATTCCACACTCCTAGCCTCACTATTAGGCCATCGAATCAGTGCCAATAGAGGAGAGGTGCGAACGATCAAATGCAAAGGATCGAACGATTGAATGATAGTATAATAGAGGTGCATTGCAATGGTGTGTTTTGAGTCTTGTTATCTCAGTCTTGTTATCTCAAAAAAGTAATCCCTTCTGTTAAGTCTTTGTTTGAGTCCTTTAATCCCTTCTGTTAAGTCTTTGTTTGAGTCCGTTACATCTTTTTTGAGTCCTTTAAGTCCAGTAGTGTTCCGTTTAGTCATTTGTTTAGTCATTTGTTTAGTCGGCTGGGTAGACAGGTCCAAATGACTAAAGAACTGACTAAATTGTTTAGTCCGAGATTTAGTCATCTGCTGGTAGACACCACCATTACTAAAGGATAATGACTAAATCTTGAACTAAACAACCACCTAAAGGATTCCTTTAGTCGCTACTTTAGTCGCTCCGGTAGAGACCGGCCTAAGGTTTCAAGGTTTCGAAGTTTCGACATAAAATCTTACGGAAGTACTGTACAGGTACCTGTTACCTGTGCATACAGTTTTTTAAAGTTGCAGCTACAAAGATTATTATTAACAAAAGGCAAGCTGAGAATCGCATTCCTCTGCAAATTTGGTTTCACTTCTCTCAAACACTGCTCCCGAACACTTCTCCTGAACACTTCCCCCGAACACTTTTAGTGTTGTATTAGTATTGCTTCAGAATTATCAGTGGACTTCCTCTGCAAATTTGGTTTCACTTCTCTCAAACACTGCTCCCGAACACTTCTCCTGAACACTTCCCCCGAACACTTTTAGTGTTGTATTATTATTACTTCAGAATTATCAGTGGACAGTCTTTTAGACTAGTATTTTGCAGAGAATTTTCGTTGACGATTTTTGTACCTGCGCACCGCATCGTACCGTACCGTA